TATAAAGACTTTGTATTTGTAAATGTGAGCCATGGACACTTTAAGGACATCTTTTTACATGTGTGTTATATCCAGGTTACCAAATTGCTCAACGGACTGGTGATTGCGTCGCTGGAGAACTACTCCCCAGCCTCTAAAATCGGAGTCTTTATCAAAGCTGGTTGTCGTTATGAGACCCCTGACAACCTGGGTGTCACCCACCTGCTCAGACTGGCCTCCAACCTGGTATGAAAGTTCAGCATAGCTGGTTTAAAGTCAGTATGTGCTTAGTTTGTGTTTATTTTATATTTAAAATGAAAATATTTAAGTACTTTATTCTACATAAAAAAAATAGTCAGCTAGATATTAATTAGCAATTTTTTTTTATGTATAGACCACCAAAGGAGCGTCAGCATTCAAAATCTGCCGTGCTATTGAGGCAGTGGGAGGCAGCATGAGGTAGGATTCTCTGTTTTAATAAAAATGGAAAAGAAACAAAAAGAGACTGACAAACGTTTAGTGCTCTGAGTGTTAATTTGTGTTTTTCTGTGCAGCGTGACTTCATCCAGGGAGAACATGGTGTACACCGTCGACTGTTTGAGAGATGACGTGTGAGTGTGCTTATTTTGTTTAAAATGTCATTATTCAGAWTTAAGAAATGACTGCTGAGCAGAAATTTGAGTCAGATACACAATCTCCTTTGTTTACACGTGTTGTAATTTGTAACGGTGGAGATCATCGTGCCTCGGGTGTGAGAGGATTTAAAAATTTATTTTTGTTTTCTTGCACAGCCTTCTTACCTCACAGGAGTTTTTCCTCTGCATGTTTTTGTGTCTGCAGCGAYACAGTGATGGAGTTTTTGATCAATGTGACGACGGCCCCAGAGTTCCGTCCTTGGGAGGTGTCTACTCTCACACAGAGGATGAACGTGGAAAAAGCACAGGCAGCACAAAGCCCTCAGACAGGTGAGCCTTTAAATGATCACAAATCTTGTTTGTATCCCTGCTTATAAATCACAAAGCTTAGCATGAGGAATGATGCCACGTCTGTATCAGGCTCAAATAAAAACACACAAATACTTCAGACTAATACCACTTTTCTACTTGGTTACATTTCCTCTTCCACTTTGCAAGTAATCGAGRGCAAAGAATAAAAAAATGTTTGTAGTTTGGACTTATTGAGGTAAACACAGGTGATGTTAAGGCAGCAGTGTTTGTTGTGTTCCTACTAAAAGAAATGAGTTTCTAAAGTCATTGCATAATGTTTAGTTACTTACTCATTAACTATTCAGTGTCTGTACTCAGTGTCAACAAGTACCGTATTTTTCGGACTATAAGCCGCACCTGCCATTTTTTTTAAAAAAACGCGTGAACATCAATGTATAAGCCGCACCGGACTATAAGCCGCACCCACCACCCCCCATCAGTAAAAACAAAAACAGCCACCTCACCCCCCCACACCCCATCAGTAAGCGGTCCTCTTCAGTTTCGGAGTTAAACGAGCTGCGAAAAGCTGCGTCACACAGCAGTATCTGTTCAGTGTTGCTTTCTTTCTTTTTTTTGTCACTTCAGTAG